ACACCAACTCGACTTGATTTGAACTCGACTCAGCTTATCTGACTCGTGAGTTAACTCGACTCGTCCGGAACTCTAGTGTTGCATCTCCTAAACTTTTGTTATTGCATGTGTTAGTTGATTAATAGCATGAAAATATACAAAGAACTTTCTAAGTTTGAAGTTGTATGATGCTCCTTGATAATCAGGAAAGTTAACAAACAGCCTGTTAATGAAGTTCCGTTTATCAGTGATAGATTTACCAGTAATATTTGCAGTATCATCTGATGCAAAAAAACGCGTCGGTAAAGTAATGATATTGAAGGAAGTATCTTTCATATTAAAATCATGTGATTGGTCAGTTTCGTTTACATTATTTTCAACTTGGTCAGCCCAAGAAAGTTGTTTATTTTTTTCCTTGTCAGTAATATTAGCAGTAGTTAAAGTTGAACTAAGATCGTTTGTTGTATCATTTATTGTATTCTTTGCATGTCTTGAAATATTAGTGTTAGCTTCTTGAAACGATGAAGGTGAAATATTTTTTGTTTTATCTATTTCCATTTCATATACTTTTGAGTCTTCAAAGACAAAACCTGCCTTAGGAGTAAAAGAGGTTGTCTATGTAATAACTGCTGTTTGTTGGGTAATATCTGGATCTTCAGTTGTTGTAAAAGTAGTATCAAGTGTAGAGATATCAGTTTTTTGTCTTTTTTTAGTTTTAGTAATATTATCGTTGTTCTTGTTCTTTTCGTTATCGTTAGAGGATAGAACACTAAGTTTTTTGTTGTTATCTAAAGCGTTTGAAATAGTTTTATTATAAGGTTCGGTTTTTTTTCTATATGTATTCTATCTTCTAGTTGTTAGAGATATTTTGGCAAAAAAGATCAGCGGAAAGAGTTTTTTTTTTTTTTTTTTTTTATAATTATTAAATAATAAGTTATTTTAAAAAATTGAAAAATTGAAAAATTAATATATATTAATAATTATTAATTTTAAAAATTTAAAAATAATATCATTAGATTGATCTAAATATGACAAATCTAATAAACTTTATTTCATCTTTTTATAATCACTAGATATTAAAATATTATAATTTTTCTTTAATGTTTTATAGCTAATTTATATCTACGCTTTAAGGGATATAATATAAAGCAATTATTAAATCATTATAAAATTATTATAATATATTAAATTTTAAAATCATTATAAAAGTTATATTATATATGAATACAAAATAATTTTAAATGATTTTATAATTTACAATTATTAAATATTTTAATAATCATTTTATAAGTCTTATAAGATATAAATAAGCATTGTATAAGATTTAATAATGATAAAGAATATTATTTCTTTGAAATAATAATAACATTATTCTAATTGAATGATTTTTAGTTATCATTTAATTAGAATAATACAATCATTTTAATTGAATGATTTTTTAGTTATTATTTGATTAAAATGATACAATTATTTCAATCAAACAATTTTGTAACTTTATTTCAATTAAAATAATACAATTATTGTAATTAAATGATTTTTTAATTTTGTTTGATTAGAATAATGCAATCATTTTAATTAAATGATTTTTTAATTATCATCTATTTAAAATAACACTTTTGTATTATTGTTTAATTAAAATGATACAATCATTCTAATTTAATAATTTTTTTAGTTTTTGTTTGATTGGAATAATCTAATCAAATGATTTTTAATTTTTATTAATTAAAATGATATAATTGTTCTAATCAAATGATATTTAACAATTGTTTTAATTAAATAATTTTTAATTTTCATTTAATTGAAATAATACATTATTTTAATCAAATGATTTTTAGTTATCATTCAATTAGCAATATAATACTAGTTATTTAAATGCAAAAATTATTAAAAATAATACTTATACTACTTTTTATTTTCTAAGAAATCTTGCAAAAAATCAATAAATATAAAGTTTCAGATTTAATGTTAATAAATAAAAGAACAGAAAATATAATATAAAATAAATATTTGGTAAGTTATGTAATTATACATAGTTTTAAAAATCACTCAAATTTGTTGCATTTTTGAAAGATATCTTCAAAAAATATATATTACAGTCTTCTTTATAATATGGTCTATCACTTAATGCTTTATATTATTACGTAGATCGTTGCACAAGGTTGATCTGCCCTATTAAACTTTTTTAAGAAAATTTTTTTTAAAACTTTCTGGTAATTGATAAAATGTTCATTTTCTCTAAATATACACCCACGGCAACTAAGAGAAGTCTCACTGTCCTGTTAAAAAGTTATAAAAATAATTTCCTGATCCTTTTTTTTATATCCGAGCAAATGTTAAAAGTTTGAATATTAACTTTTCGTTTATATCGCTTTCGTTCAATAAGGATTTTACGCAAGCAGCGGTGGTGTCCCACCATTTACTAAAGAAACTGCGAATTTCAAAGTGAAGAAAGCGCAAAACTTGTGGAATACTAAGGATCCGTATAAAGTTGTTGATGCTTATACTAAAGATTCTATGTATGTGTCTTTTCGTTACTTGAATTGGCAGCGTTTTTGAACGAAACAATTGACCGTTAATCTTCTCTAGCTGGCGCAATCGTGATAAGTTCTTCACCGGGCACGATTCAATCATTAAGTTCTTGAAGGACAAGTGGTCAAAGGAGTTAGATTATAGATTGAGAAAGGAGTTGTTTTCGTGGACGGATAATAAGATTGCAGTAGAGTTTTGGTACGAGTATCACGATCATCAGAAGCAGGCAAGTATATTAGTTTGCACACTAAGTGTATTAAGGTATAAGGTTTAACACATTATTCCGTTTTCGTTGCAATCATGATGATAGTGGTATCGTGGTATGTAATTATATGCAATTTGTTGTTATAGTTGAATAAGAACTAACTCTTTTTTTTTTCTCTTTCCCCAGCCTACGGTATCGAACATTGGACTTTTGATAAGGAAGGAATCATGCAACTTCGGCAAATGAGCGCAAACAACATTCATATCACTGAAGAAGAGCGTTGGTTTAAAGATGGTGTTGATGTGGATGACGTTGAGGTTCCAATTTAGATTACATATTGATTTTAATAAAGGTGTCAAGATTACTTGGAAGAACGTACTATACCCGGGTGGAAATTTGTAGGAACTAGATAAAATTGATATTGTACTTGTACTGTATTTGAACTAACTTATTATAAACTTTGTATATGAAATTTAAAGCAACACGTGACCTATATAATATCAGGCATTCCTAAGTTGTAAATACAATTTCCCAGCTTGACGAGCTTTCCCGAATTAAAATAAATTTTGAGGGACATGTTCATAAAAAGAACTTATCATTTAAAATTATATAAATTAACGATAGAATGTTGTTCAATAATGTTTTTAACAAAATTAAATGACGCGTATAATAGTTATTGACGCGCTTCTTTTGTCAATTGTCAACCTCATAATTATCATTTTTTTCGTCACTTGAAATCAGCAATAAAAAGTTTGCTAAAATAAAAATTTTATTAGCTAATTAGTTGCATACTTCATCATCTATCGTTAATAATATATTCACATAATCAAATATCCATTAAAACAGCCTGGCAACCAATCATTTATCCGATTCTCTACCTTGTGATTCAATAAATGACGCGTATCAACATAATTATTGAAAATTGAGATTGATTAAAGAATACAAAAGATATAAATGATGATTGCAATGTGAGCAATTGTTTTTTTCTTTTCCTTTTTGTTCCCATTCCTATCTGTAGGTGAATAATGTTGAGGTCACTTATTGTTCAGATTTTTGTTCAACAATACACTAACCATATTGATCAACAATAACATATTTTATGTCTAACCCGATCATTTCTACTAGCATTAATGGATTATTTTCTCATTAATTTTGGCTGAAATGATCGGATACGCAATTTGGGTTCTAAAACAAGAACAATAATGGTGATTGATTATAGCAGTTTTTGATAAGCTTAAAGTCAATTTCTTGAAATATAAAGCGATCCCATTTTTTTATTATCATTTTTGTGCAAACGATTGAAACGTTAGCTAAATATTAATTATTATTACACGGTCCATTAGGATTGTGCGGAATTTAATGTACTGATATTTTTTTAATCATACCTGATATTTTTTTTGCTGATCGACATTATATTAATATTGGTACACGCACTAATCCTAATAGACAGTATAATAATATTGTTATTGAACGGGGCTATATCGGTCGAAGACCGATATTTTAACGCCCCGTTCAATAACATACAATTATCCACTCCAATTTTTGGATCGAATAAAACAAAAAAATGCGCTACAAATAAACATTACAAATTACATCGAGTAGATGAAGCAATTATTATATAGTTCTTGATTAACAATACATAAATTTCATTATAAATAGTCCGAGTTTTCAATCATTAAAGGTAATTCACTATATTAAGTATGTTATTCGAAATTCTTGTTTGTGTACTTTTCGCCGCTTATTTCTCACAACGATGGGTACGTACGCGAAAGAAAATGGAAACCTCCCAAAGAACATTGATTCCGATAGCCGTGAATTTTCACTTTACTCGTAAATGCAATTACAAATGTGGATTTTGTTTTCATACCGCTAAAACTTCCGATATGCCAACGTTAACAGACTCACAACTCGCCTTAAAGAAATTAAAAGATGGAGGAATGCGTAAGCTCAACTTCGCCGGTGGAGAACCGTTTCTCTATCCTAAATATCTCGGAGATCTTGTACGCTACTGCAAGCAGGACCTAGGCCTTGAGTCAGTGTCCATTGTGACGAATGGAAGTAAGGTGAAACGTGATTGGTTCATTCGATATGGCGAATACCTTGACATCATGGCGGTCTCGTGCGATTCTTTTAATGAGAAGACCAATGTACAAATTGGTCGAGGTCAAGGCTTGCATCTCAATGCCGTACAAGAAGTTTCTTCTCTCTGTAGAGAATTTCGTGTCAAATTCAAAGTCAATACCGTGGTATGCCGGTATAATTGGCAGGAGGATATGAATCATGACATATCCTTGCTTCAACCGTTTCGATGGAAATGTTTTCAGGTTTTGATCGTACCTGGAGAAAACACAGGGACTGACGGTACTTTGAGAAACGCTACCGAATTCCAAATAAGCAGCGCGGAATTCGAGGCCTTCATAAATCGACACGCGAAAGTCCATGGGGAAAAACTCGTTCCCGAACCAAACAATCTGCTGCGCCATTCGTATTTAATGATAGACGAACACTTGCGGTTTTATGCGTCAGGAAATACTCCTTCGGTACTCACGTTACTTGACACAGACCTCCAAACTTTGCTCAAAGATGCTGGATGGGATGAAGCCGCTTTTATTAAAAGAAGTGGCGTGTATGATTGGTCACGTAAACCCAACACGACTCCATGTAGCAGCAAGTTCCGTGACCAAAAATTGGATTGGTAAATTAGATTGTGACGCGAGTTATCTCTGATTAATTTTGGAAAATCAAACTTGTAAATAGGAGATATGTAGGAAAAGAAATGGCTACTTTTATCTAAAGGTAATTATACAAAACTCTATATATTAATTAATCGATAACGTTTCGTTTGTTTAAATAATTTCTAACACATTATAAAAAAAACAGTAAATATATTGTTACATTTGTTACATTATAAATTTCATATTTAAATATAACTATTATTTGTATCATCAATCAATCTTGTATATCAATTTCCATCATTTTTTATAATAAAACTGATATGAATTTAAAACTATGTTTTATTTTTACTTGAACAATTTATTTAATGGTAAACTTTTTGTATTTGTCGAAATAATGATACATATATTTATTATTTATAATAACTAGAATGGAGTCAACTAAATTTGGATTGGCTTTTGGTCCCTTTCATCTGCGAAATCAGAAAGTGGTTTTACCTTAGAGCGCTGTTCATAAATCTAAATATAACAGCATCTTCAATAAATAAAGCTCTAATATTATCATTTACCTCTTAAAAGATATCAAAATAAGATGTTTATTTCTTAAAAAGTACTATTTAATATATAAATTTCCTACAATGCTTAGAAAATTTAGAAATAACAAATTAAATTATAAAGATAATTTCTTATATTATTATGATAATATTTGTTTATAAAATAAAGTTTTATATAAAAAAGAAAAAATTTTTTATACATATTACTTTATTAGAGTATTAAAATAATAGTTTTAAATAAATCTTTTATAATTTCATATTAAAGGATGTAGCTTATTAATAATATTTTATAAGCAAGTATAGAAAAATATGTATTATAGAAATTTGCAAAAGGAATCTTATTATAAAAACTAATATTAGTCTTTTTAAATATATTAAATTATAATGCAATTATTATTAACATATCTTTGAAATTTAATAATATGAATAAACATTATTATGATAAAACAAAAACTTATAATGAAATAATATTTTATCTTTTTTATGAATTATAGAGATATTCTTATAAATATTTAAAGAATTTTATATAATTATGATATAAGAAAAAATTTCTTTGATAAATTAGATTTATCAACTGATCTATAAAATAAATATAATAGAAAAAGTTAAATACGGAATTATCAAAAGTTTTTTAAATGCTATTTTAAACATTAAATTACTTCGTAATAAAATAATTTAAATTAATAATTTTAAAATTCTTTATACATAATTATTATTATCCTTTTAATGGGATTGAAAGTAAAAATTAGTATTTACTATTATATTTTTTGAAGTATTTTTTTTTTTTTTGATCTTCTGAATAAAATATATTAGATGTTTATGTAATGCAATTTTTTTTAACTTGTAAAATTTTATTAGCTTAATTAGACGATTTATTTAAAAATACATAATGTAAACCTAATTCCAAGAATGTATGGATATGTATGATTTACCCAGTTCTACCACTAAGTTTTTCACCCACGTGATTTTGGACGGCATTATAAAACTTGGCCGAAATTAACTAATTGAAAAAATTCAAAGTTTCCTAGAATGCATAGTAAAAACGAAATTGACACGGGTAACAAATTATTGAGATCACGTGGGGTGAGTCATTGTCACGGGTTTCAGTGAAAACTTTACAATCCTAGACGCTAGACAATTTGAAATTTGAAGAGATCCCCGTACCCAGAAGGTTCTATTTACATGTTATTGTCATTCTTGGTGTTCTCAATAATTTATTATTGTAGTTTGGAGAAAATTTTCTGAATAAGCTGTATTTCACAACAGCTCATTCAAAAAGAAACGCCAAATGCTTTTCAATGAGAAATTGTAATTAGTAATAAACATCAGAAACTTGTGTCAGAAAGTCTCCTATTCATGTGTTATTATCATTCCTGGTGTTCGCGATTATTTTTGGATTGGTTTTAATTAGCATACGAATAATTTTTGCAATACACAACAGGTTCGTGCGACATATTAATTTTTCGCGTCTCATTCAAAAAGAAACGCCAAATGCTTGTTTCAATGAGAAATTGGTGTTATATGAAGTGTGACAACTTCAAGCATTAGCCAAATTTGCGTCTGGCTGAAAATATCTCCGGTGCCAGAAGGTCTCTCTCCATGTTCATGTGTTATTTTCATTTTGATTTCACGTTCTTTTTGGATTAAGCAAAAACCAGCATAATATGAGCAGCAGGACTGTGCAGCATATTAAGTTTTTTTTTTTGTCTCATTCAAAAAGAAGGCCGTCTGAATGAGAACTTGGCGTTCTTTTTTTTTTTTTTTTTTGATTGGGGTCATTGCATTATTGTTGATTGGTGTTGACAATTTTATTTAGATAGAACTATTGTAGATTTTCATTATAAATACTTAAAAAAATTAATGTTTTGACCAAAAAAAAAAAAATGGGCTATAGTAAAGGAAGTGGGTATTTTTTTTTTTTTTTGAAAAAAAAAACCATGATAATTATTAAATAATTATTTTTTTTAGACCGCATTCAATATTATCCAAATCCCAACAATCACCAACATACAAACGTTGGTGTTATTCAAGAATCAAAACCGAATCAAATGTACTCTGTTCTCCCAACTGGCGAAAGTAAACCGATTGGTATTTGAAATTCTTTATAAAACATATGCTTATATTTTGGAATTGTATTATTGAATTTATGTATTTTATTTTTTAGACATTCATGAAAATCAAATTGTTGGACTTGTAAAAGATTAAATGAAAAATAATCGATAAATAAATAAACAACTCTTTTTGGTCAGTTAGACCAGTTTCATTCTATACATTTTTTGTAATTCTACAAAAGTAGAAAAGTATCCAATTCATAAAATTTTAGCGTTCACCTCTTTGACCATTAATGGAAATAATTTGTGTCTAAAAAGCCTTTTAATTGTTTATATCATCGCGGAAAGCTGAAACATTCTTTTCTGAACACATGCGTTACGCTAAGGCTTGCATAATTTGGAGTTTTTCCGAGAAATGCATGCTTGTGTGACAACAAATAAAAAAATTGCAAATCATTTTTCGTGATGAGTGTCGAATATGGAATCATTCATAGAATTAGTGCCAATAATTCAAAAACGTGTTGAACAACTGAATGAATAAATAAAATAATTTTTTACTTCGTTGTATATGATATTGCGTATTTTAATGACACGTGTTAAACCACTAAGCCCATTATTCAGAGAATTCTATTATTAAAGAATCTCCTTCATGCATTAAACATTGTTGATTGATGAATTCGAACATCTTCCAAGATGCGAAATTGATAATGTTACTAATACTAGGATTCTATAATATAGAAATACAATTTCTGATTAAAGAATTATGCTCATTAGTAATTATGATAATCAAAAAAATACTATATTCTTATCGTCAATTGAATATTTTTTTCCTAATTATGTATCAAAATTACGATAAAATAGCATCTCTTTAAGAGGGATGTGCAGTTATCAACTATCCAACTCGCTTGATCGATCTGGACTCAATATATAATATTATGTAGTCATAAAGGTGCATTTTTACTTCAACGAGTACTTGATTGAATTAAAATTTAAAAAACTGACTCATACTAAATTACCAAAGATGCATGCAGAGTCCGTGATTTTCCAAATTATGATTTCTCTCAATGCTTTATTAACGTTGAAACCCATTTTCATACGGAACAAACAGCAAAATTTTACTTTTCAAAAGTATATGAAAAGGAAATCAAGCGGATTTCAACTGTATCAGGTCGAAACTATTTGAATCAAAATTTTCGGAATACGTTCCGATCATTTGTATTATTTATTTTTCGTGTTAGCTCACTCTATATTGTAATAAAAAGGCTTTTATTGCTATCCCTTAAATAATTTGATATCATCAATACTAGTGCTCCGAAACGATCGAGTCGGACCGGGTTGATTGACCCGACTCGAATTTTTTTCTCGAGTCGGGACTATCATTTTATAACATGAGTCCTAATTCAAAAAATTCTGCCGGGTCAGGTTCACGTTTTTTCTTGACCCGGTTCGACAGGCGCTAGACTTTTTTTTTGTTTTATGTTTACGCATTTGTAACAAATAATTAAATAAGTAAATCTATCGACGTTACCAATAGTTCAAGAAAACGAAAATCATTGGCGGAGTGAACAATTACAGGTAAAAAAAAAAAAAAAAATTATCGATTATTAAACATTAACTAATACTTTTTTTTTTATAAAGCAACAAATGTTCCAGTAGACGAGTTTTTTCTGGCGGAACCGATTTGATATCAACCAAAAGATGTGGTCCTAAAGTTAATACAGCTCGCCTGTATGTGCTTGAAATTCTGGAGGAAAAAGATGTAAAAAAAAAAAAAAAAAAGAATTAGATTAATGCTTACAAAAAAAAAAAAGATAATAAAATTTTAAAATTAAAATAAACTTTATATGACACTTTTATTTTCGGCATTAATATTACCCTTGAGAATTCGAGTCGAATCCGAATCAAACAATGATCAGGTCGAGCCGAATTCGGGTTCTGTAATTATTAACTAAATATAATGTTAAAATTAAAATTCAATCAATAAGTGAATTATATAAAATAGAAAATAAATCAAATTAATAATATTTAGGTAAAAATTTTATATGAATTATATAGGGTAATTTTGTTGTAAAGTTAAATGATTAATAAATTTGTATTATATTCATGTAATTTTATTTAACCTTATATTTTATAATAATATAAAAAGGATTTCTGAAATTCAAGAATTTATTAATAATTAAAGTTATTTTTTTTTATTTTGCTAATTTGGAAATTTACAAGTTTGTCAACTTTCTAATAAACCAACTTTTAAATGCAATATTTGATCTTATCTCTTTTTCAGATTTAGCAGCGGCATTATAAGAATTTAATTTGGCTGTAAAACAAAGATGGACAAAGGAAAATGATTCAACGATCATTACTATAATTGAAGACAATACATTTCCATAAATTCCTAAATTAACGATACGTTTTAAATTTTATCTCCTATGCGATATTATTGGTGTGCAAAGTAAGATAAGAAAATAATATCTTTTTATATCATAAATAAGAGAATGCTGAAAAGCATGCTTAACCTTATAAGTAGTAAGTTTATTACTTTTACTTTTTGCGTTGGTTGAACTAACCAAGAAAATCAATTTTTTGTTTGTTCAGTCTACTTGATCATGATAACTAACTACATTTCTCTTAGGAAAGGGGCCTTCGAGATACTTTAGATTTTAAGATATTCAGTTTGTTAGCTTGGTTTCGGTACAATTCCAGGTCTAACAACGGGAAATATTTTTGCTGATCAAGCAGTAACTGGTAAAAATAAAAATAAAAATTAACACTCCTTATTGTCTTTCTTTTTTTCCTTTAGCGATTTTAATAAGAAATCATATACTATTCTTGAAAAAACTGGTTGGTTATGATTTAGAATTTAATTATATATATATATTTATTTATTTATTTTTAAATTAATTAATTGCCTTTGAAATAAATATAACTAAAAAAAAGTTATTAATTTTATTGAAAGAGCTTTCGTTGTAAATGCATTCATTTATAATAATAATAATAATAATAATAAATTCAGTCAATAAAATCAATATTTATAAATCAAAATTTGTAAATTTTAAAATTATTCTTTTTAATAGATTCCAAAATTTACGATTAAAAATTGAGTTTTCGAATATTATTTCTTGAATGAATTGCATTAGTTAGTGATTTGGTAAAGAATTTGACATAATTAAATATTAAGTACAACGACCATAAGATAATTTTCAATTATAAATGAATAAAATATATATTTATCTCTTTAATTTTAACAAGATATTATTTTTAACGCCATTTTCACGTTCCAATCTTCTCTGTTTCAGCAATATTACATCAATTTCATGTCTCGCTACCGATAATGTCTTGTACTTCTTTAAATAATCTTTTTCAGGCTTCGCATCTTCTTTAAATCGTTTGTTCATCACGTCTGAATTTACTCCATTATCATTATTTCCTTCCTGTTTTCTTTCTTCAATACTTGCGAAATCTCTTTTAATTAAAATCTTACACTCTTCATTATTGTCTTTAGACTTAAAATCCCCAAATTCATGTTTAATCACACTCTCATTCTTGATATTGTTGAATTCATACTCAATACCAATCTCACTCTTTATCTGGATGTCATCAAAAAGAATATTTCTCGCACGTAGCCAACTTTCTGGTCGATAATGAATGTGTAAAACAGCCACCGGTATTGTTGATAAACTACTTAACATTTTGTTCGAGGCCACTTTGACGTTTTGACTTTTTTCAAATCCTGTAGAAAGTTTTATCCCCATTCCAATTCCGGTTGATTCAAGAACTTGCACTTTTTGTATTCTATCTTTGCTATTACTATTTATTCTTTCAACTTTCTCCAAATCTTTAGCTTTATAAAAGTAAACGGAGATGGCTCCAATTCCTCCAAATCTTGATCTTACAAATCGCGCTTCCCCCCTAGAATCATCATCTATCCAATTTGTGACATCAAATTTAAACAAATTTTTACATCGTTGTTCATCGAAAAATCCATCTTTACTCCCTTTGACTCTCGATTTTTGAAGTGGCATACAAGTGTGATCCCATTGACCATCAACAAATAGCTTTGCCTTAAGAATCGTGCAAGATGATGAAAAGATATCATGCGGAGCACCGAATTGTACAATATAATTAGCGCATAGTTCTTCAACCGCAGCGTAGTATGTTTTATCACTACAGAGAAGGTGAAAGTAGTAGTCCAATTAATTTTTCAGAAAGGATTAGGATTTGATTAACAAAAGGATGCTAAGACATGTGAATGGCTTCTTTCTTTTTTTTTTTTTTAATTACATACGAACCTTTCGATTTTTCGCCCAGTTTTTTGGTCAAGTACATAAGAAGGTTCCGTAGTGATCTGAGATAAATATTGATTGGAACAATTTATTTCGGATTTTTCCGTGAAAAAAAAAAAGTAACACTATTAAAAAAAATATATATGTATAAACGTAATGGTTACGAGAATTTCTTTCTCTTACAACATACAAATCTTTTATTTATAGGTTCACTACATTCTTTTAGTGGCTTTCCGTTTATTAATATCTCTAATAAAAAATGAGAATAAATCATTTTTGTGAGTGATAAACGAATGCAATATTCTAGAAAAAGAATGATGGAGAGTGAAATTACTGTTGAATTGTATGTACTGTAATTGTAATCACTCACATATGACGTTAAATTGGATAATGGCATCACCGCAGCAACGCTTATTAGATAGACTTTTTATATACCAATTAGTGAGTTAGTGTAATATATCAATTTTCCAGATCCTAATGTGGGCCGGAAATTTAGGGCAGGATTTTCCGGAGTTCCTCCGTAATAATAATTTATTCGGATATTATTTATATTAATTCATTAGATTCTTTCTGATAATATGAAAGTCGGAGTTATTTTATTTATTGATTGTCTCTCGGTCTTTTGGGTTCAAATCGGAATTATCTTTTTTTTACTTTTAGCTTAGAAATCTACGATCGCGCCCTTTTCTTTAAGTTCTGATTGGATGGCGCGGGTATCAGGTAAGTTGGTTTTTTTTTTCGCTCTTGGTATATACGGCTGCAGCAATAAAATGATTTGATTTTTCTAGTATATGATATGTAGGTTTCTTTTTCTTTATTTATTTTTGGTAATTAATTATTTCTAATTTTTATTGGTTCTTTGGACGAAGGGTCAGTATTATCTGCTGCGGTAAGATTTTTTATTTTTAGACGAATTTTTATTATTTATTGTTATTATTATTATTATTTCGTTAACTGTTTTTTTTTTTTGTTTTTTTTGATTAGTTTTTTAGGCGATTTCTTTCGGTCTGGATCGCAATCACATAGGTAAGATTTTCTTTCTTTTTTTTTACCATCTTTTTTTTTGTAAATGACCCGGCACCCGGTTTTTATTTATATGGATCGAACATAAATTTAGTAAAAATTCGAACTCTAACTGGTAATTTTATTATAAAGTTCAATTTAAATGCCAATTACAAAATTCTATTTTGTTTGACTATAAAAGAAAAGATAACTATCGAAGATTTTTTTTGCAACATTTGCTATTGATACACTTGAACCGGAGTTGTGGAACGTTAATTTGAAGTATATTTTGGAAATATGAAATTTGGTAACAAAGAAAATGTGGAAAAAAATGTAAAATTTATGAAGCATCGAAAATATATGGCATTTTTGTAGAGATTAAAATTATCGAATTAAACGACAATCCTAATGAAGAACGACCTTTGAGAAATGCATTTGCTTTATTAATGAAATCATCAATAAACACTCTATCTTCCAGAAATTAAGAAATGCATTGGAAACGATACTTTAATATTATTTTGTCACGTGAAATAAAATTTATCATTATAAAAATCATTTTTTTTTTTTTTTTCAAGGAAGTAACCCGGCACTTAGATACGTGTTGTTTTTTTTTTTTTTTTATTTTATTTTCATTTTATAAAATAATTATTTCTTTTTTTTAGGTATGTTCTTTCTTTCAATTTGCATAATTTTTTTTATTAAATTATCTTTTTCTTATAAAAGTGGTTGGGCCGCTACAATCACCGTAAACAGCTTAAGTGCAAGCATATTAGCATATTGTGATTTAAATTAATTAATGAGAATGTTCTTTGTATATTTTTTTAATATTGATGTAAAAGAAAATTTATAATTATATAATTATTTAGTAAACCAAGTTACGATACTCTCTTCTCTCTTCGCTAATAATATAAAAAAAAATAACGCGTTACATTTAATCATTCTGTCTATTTTGTAATCCAAGTTTTACCAAGTATCTGATCACATTATGCATTAAAATCAAACTCGTAATTTTTTTATTTTTAAAAAAAATAAATTAATAAATTATTTTGTATTTTTCGAATTTATTTCGACGACGATTCTATTTTTATGTGGTGCAATTATGAATTTGCTAAATTTTTTTTTTATAGAACTACAGAAGATCCTTTAAGAGGTGCGATGTAAACAAAAGCAAGCTTTATATTTTATCTCATCAAATATTTATTCATTCTGCAACTTCAGAAATATTTAGTAAAACGTAAATTATATTGAATCAAGTTTTATTTTTAAAGAAAAATTGTAATCATTTTTTTTCCTCGAGATATCTAAATATTTTTCTTTTAATAAAACCAAAGACAAAATATTTTTATTAATATTATATTGCATTACAAACTTATCGCAATTCGGTTTTTCGGGTTATTATTACAACCGAATGCCCAAATTTAAAACCCAACCTCTACTCATATTTTTTATTCTCAATATTGTACAATTGTTTTTGTTTATTTTACTTTATTATTATGGGTACATTAACATTCCTGAAAATTTTTTAATATAAAAAGAGAAACTTGATATTTTACTTCTTCCCTTGCTTTAATAATAGATTATGAAAAATTTAATCATAATCAAATTACTGATCCTTGGATTTCTTGGGTGGTTTCTCTAAATCTTGTTCAGCCTTTCGCTTCAATCCAAACGTTACCTAATGCAAAGAATATGGTTATTATTTATAGAGCAAGACGGTAAAGATTACCTAGAAAGAAAAAAAATTATACCTTTTCTCTTTCAGGAGCATTCATACTTTGACCCGTCAATCCACCATTAACTGTTATAATACTTGGACCATTAATTGAAGTAGTTCCTGACGCCTTGGACGACCCTGAGGATTTTCCATTGTTATTTACCATGCTTGGAGGAACCACCCTAAATATTAAGAACATAAAATTAGTAAGAAATCTTAATTAATAACCAATCGATTATAAAATTCCATACATACGCTCGATTACCAACAGATAATACAACATGTGCACTTCCGCTAGCCTTTTGTCTCTCTTGCAAAGCTGTTGCCATATTCAATGGCGTATCAATACTGCTCATGGCTTTTAGCTTACGTTCTTCTTCAAGCTTCTTGAGACGTTTCTCCGTCTTGGCTTTTCCTGAAGATTTTCCATGAAATTTGTGAGACAATTGTCGAAAAGCTTCTTTTGGTGTTAGTTGATTACCAAACTCATCAACATATTCCAAATTAATATCTGGTTTATAATCTCTGAATCTTGCTTCCATTTCTCGCAAGTGCTCACGATCTCGATAACTGGTTTCATTATCTCGACCACCACCGCGATATCCTTTCTCCTTTGCCCGTTGTTTTTCTTTCTCTCGTTCATTCTGTCTTTCTAGATCTTTCTTGCGTTGTTCGGCAAGCCATATATGTCGTTCTCTCTGAATACGTTCTTTTTCAAGTTGTTCTTCATTTGGTTTAATTGAAAAACCTAAATATAAAATAATGATGGACAATAATTTATTAGAAATATTACGATTTAATTAGATAATAAATTGATTGAGAAATACCTTTCTGTTGTAAAAGGGCCAATGTCGCTGCCATCCCACTACTAACCAAAGGCTCTTCTTCAACTACACCGGTCTAGATAGATATGAATAAAAAAAAAAGGAAAGATAATATAATTTTATCATAATTAGATACCTATATTATGATAATAAATATATCAAGTAAATGTAAATTACCAATTTTGGTTCATCTTGAATATTAGCCATATCACTATCCTCTACATTGCCTGCTTCTTTCCAACCGCCCTTTTTCTCTTCTTCAACAACTTCATCCATTTCAACATCATCAGCTTCACCATCTTCTTTCTCTTCCTCTACCGGCTCTAGTTGGACCGGTTGAACTGGTTTTGGTTCAGCCTCGACAGGTTTGGTTATTGTTGGAGCAACGATAAGCGATCTAACAAATTCTGATGTGTCAGAAATAACTAATCCTTCGCCAGGCATCTCATCATCTTCATTAGGCTCTTCCTTAATTTCTGTCACTATTTAGAAATAGAGATCCAATAATAAATAATAATTTTTGAATAGTAAATCATAATGATGAATTACATACAATTTCTGGCAATTTCTTCAACACTCATCTTTGCAACTTTTTTTGTTGCCATTTTTCTCGCCCTTGACAAAGCTTGTTGAAGGTCATCATCATCGACAAAGCTAACATCATTGAAACTTTCTCGTCTTCTAACTTGGTTCGATACTACTACAGAAGGTGAATTATCGATTTCCATTGTATTAGGATCATTTATAATTTGTTCTTCATCATCATCAGCAACCTTCTTTCTTACTTTCTTCTTCTTTTTAGTCTATTATGCATAAACTGATGTTAACTTTGGTTAATGAATTTTTGGTTTCTCTTTTAAAAAATAAATTAAATGGTATATGACATACTTTTGGTTTCTTGAAAGTGACTTCGGCTTCTTCTCTAGTATAATAATCTTTAACTTCAATCATCTCTATGGAATTAAAATAAAATAAAAAAAGAATAAGCTCTAATTATAATATAGTATTTTGTTGAATAGTATATAAATGATATTACTATCGTAAGACAAAGAAATCGGTCTCGACTTTAATCTCTCCGCTACTTCATTCCTTCGCTCATCTTCATTTAATTGAACAGTACCGTCACTACCCAACATGAAACCCTATAAAAATTATTAGATCAAGTTTTTAATTGATATTAAATTAATTAAAGAAATTATATAAACTATTTAAAGTTATATACAGTTCTCTTATTTCCTTCGATTTCCTCATCATAATGTGATAAGATATTCTTTTTAGAAACTTCTCCTCCACAAAAATTAAATTCTTCGTCATCATAACCAGTATAAATAGGTTTCTTCTTTTTATTTTCTAAATTCTTTTTGAGTCTTTGTTGTTCTTCAATCTGTATAGAAACCAGCTGATCACCTTCTTCTGTAATAAAAAAGCAATAAGTAAGAATTCGTAAAGTTAAAAAACTCTCTAAATAAAAGTTACCTTCGTTTTCGAGAATGCTCGAATCTTTTAAAACTAAAATGCGTTCTTTACCGTCCTGGAAATCTGAAAGATCGTGAGCTACTTGCATAATTTAAAATTTTTTATTGAAGGAAACAAATTATTACAAAAAACTCTCATTTTTGTCATTTTTTGTTAAGTTTGATCGGTGAAGATTCTGATTGGCTACGGGCTGAATATAGCGGGCAATTTCGTAATTTCGCTAG